AAAACAATCAGAAAAGATGTCTCTGGTGACCCATGCTTTCTGTTAGCATACTAATGAATTAGTAAGAAATTCACTCTTCGAAAATACTGAGGATTCAAGCTTTTGCCTATTACAGCAAGTTTACTTTTGTGTGTGCCCACTGCATTAGCACATCCTGGCACAATTATCCTGTTTTTGGTATCCTGGTTTCCTGCAGGGCCTATCTCATCAGCTGAAGGCAGTGTCTTTCTGAGGCAAAAATAACAAAACAGTGATGTTTCATCAGCACTAAAGATTTGATCTAGTGTGAGACTTTTATCAATGATGATCTTGGCAAACTCATCAATAAGTTTCTCTGCTGCTTTCTGATCAGCAGATACTTGGTCACTACAAATATTTGAAAATTTTCATGCCATGTTTTTTCGTAAATTTATGCCAAAGAACTATGTATATTTACAGTTCTTTTAAATTTTCAACTCATGGTGATAGATCTTTGCTTGTTTTATGATCAGCATATCATTAAATGACATGTGTTCTTTGTAATGCTGATAGATCCAGTTTTTCAATACACAATTGAGATCTCCATTTTTAGTTTTGTGGAGTATTTTTTTAATTTTTCATTAACTTCAGCATAAGACTTCAACAGTTCATCCTGCTGTTTCTTTGAGTCATTTAAGGTGGTCATTTCAACACCATACTCTTTTTTTATTGTTTCTTTTTTGAGATGGAGCTCCAGGATAGAGTGCAGTGGTGCAATCTCAGCTCACTACAACCTCTGCCTCCTGGATTCAAGCCATTCATCTGCCTCAGCCTCCCAAGTATCTAGGATTACACACATGTGCCTCTAGGCCCAGCTAATTTTTCTACTTTTAGTCAAGACAGGGTTTCACCTTGTTGGCCAGGCTGGTCTCAAACTCCTGACCTCAGGTGATCCGCCCAGCTTGGCCTCCCAAAGTGCTGGGATTACAGACATGAGCCACTGTGCTGGGTCTCAACACCATATTCTTTTATAAGACATTTTGCATCTTCCATAAGATATTATACTACTGTCCAATTTATCCAAAACTTGACTTTCTGTGTTATAAGTATACATAAATGCTTCCTTTCTTTCTTATCATGCTACCCATAAGTATCTGCAGACCTTTTTGATATTTTCAACAGTATATTTACATCACAGAGTAGAGAATAAGAAAAAAAAAAACACACACACACACAGACAAATGCACATAAATCTTGACCCCATGGAGGCAGAGATGTGAATCTGCTGTAAGCTCATTCATTCTGCACAGGTGCCATTTATTATTATTATTATTATTATTATTATTATTACTATTATTATTATTTTACCCTTTGTGGACTTGTTTTCATGGGGAAATCTGGGTGTGCATCAAAAAAACATATCACAGCTAAAAGGGCTGGGAAAGTCTTTTTTCTCTTGTTAATGCTGAATAAACTGTGTGTTGTGCACCTGCATTTTGACTGTGACCCATCACATGAGGTCAAATAGGAAATTTTCTACTATGTTATGTTGGTGCTCAAATATTTGGGGTTTTTTGAGCACTTCCACTCAAATTTTCAGATTAGGGATCCCAACATGTACATGCCAGAAACTAGCAGATGACTGAAATACAGTATGTACTCATTAAATATGGTTGATTAAATAAATGGATGGATGAATGAATATATAAATAAATATGTACAAATTTTCAATCCTGGTTTCTTTCCATACGTGAAAGTTATCATTTTCCCTCTGAACTGTTGTGACATCATAACATTATAATTTATAAAATTGCTTTCAATTATACAAGGAAAGAATTAGAAAACCAGTTGGGATAGAAATGCCTGATGCTCTTCTTGCATATGTTGTTGAATACCAGAAACCTGCTAGGAGTTCATACATAAACAAAGTAGATGGAGAGAGCCGGGAAGATAGTGAGAATGCAATTTTTCTCTACTGTCTCTGCCTTGCCTTTCTCATATCACAGAATGACACAGTGTTAAGTGTTAAGCCATATCTCATTCAGCTCTCTTGTTTTATGATATTAAAACTGTGACTCAGAGAGATTAAATAACTTCCCCACAAATCCCACAAAGTTCCTGGCACAATCAGGACTAAAATACAGGTTTTCTTGACTTTCAGTCCAATGGTCATTCAATTAGTCACATCTCTATTCCTGCAGCCCCTGAGTTCTTCTCCTTAACTGTACCAGCTTTCCCAACAAAATTTGCTTGACCTGAATTTCTCTCTCTAGACATTGTATATTTCAAGACAATCTTTCTGTTTTTTGAACTGTATTTTCTTTTTCTATAGTAACATCAGCTTCTCTGAAAAACATATCCATCCACAAAGGATTAATTTTAAGTGTGAATGTGTGTGTGTGTGTGCGTGCATCCTTTTACTCACAGCCTTATAATGAGATCTTCCCAACATTTAAAGGGATACATCATTTAAGATATGATTTTCAAGAAATGCTTTTTGGGGCCTGTTTCCACAGCTGATGGGATCAAAAGTCTATAAAAGATTCTTTAAGTCTCCAAAGTATTAGCTCCTGAACTCTTTAAAGTTCTCAGCATTTTTCTTCTTTTCAATTTTTGTACTACTTTGCAATGCAACAGTTCTCTGTTGCAAAATAGGAGTAGAATGTATCTCATTGGACCTGGATTTAGTTTACCCTTTCTTTCCACTAAGGGAAAAGGGCACTATCCTAGTGAGAAGAACACTGGCAGAACAGCAGAGTGCTTAAGACCAACTCTCTTACGGAGCATGACATTTCTGTTAGAATAATAAGTAGGAAAAGAATCTTCCTACTTAGAATAATAAGTATACTTAGAATAATAAGTAGGAAAAGAATAAGTAGGTCAGCAGTGATATAAGCAGAATCTCATGAATAAGTAAACACAGGACCTATATCCTAGTCACTAATCTCCAGCCAATAAGCACTTTTCAACTGTGTAACTCTGAGCTAGGGGCTGCCTTTTCCTGAGTTTCTTCATTTGTAAAATAAGGATACTAAAAATGACTCTTAGAAGATTGCTGTGTTAAATGAAGTAATACATATGAAGTGCTTAAAATAGGGCCTGATATATAAGAAGTCCAAAATAAATGTTTGTTACTATTATAAATAATATGAACAAGTATCTTTGATAAGGGTTTAAATGAATCAGACTTATTTAAAAGTCCACTTTACACAGTTGGAGTTACTTACTCAAAATTAGGGCCTCTCCCTGAGCGCTAAGCTTATCCTCTAGTGCAGATTTCAAGAACAACTCTCTGGGATCCTCCCTCATTCTCTCCTTCTTTCTTAAAAATATATATTACATAACTATTAGCACTGCAAAGCTCTAAGGAAAAATGATAATCCTATGTCCTCAATCTAGAGAAGCTTCCAACACTCAAAGTGGGGGAAGGTTTTTAAAATATAGATTCTTCCAGACAACATAGGACCAGGGATACAACAGGCTTTTTTCTTGTCCTGAATAAGTAACTTACACAGTCTTTATTCTTAGAAAACAGAGCAAATGGTATATAACAAATCAGTAGGCTGTGTTTAAATATTTAAGAGATATTGAGATTTCTATTTAATTTTAAAGAGTTTCAACCTCTTTAAAATTATAGATGAAGGGTCCTGCTTCAGACTTTCTATATCAAAATACCTGAGGAGGAGACTGAGTTTTTTTTTTCTTTTTTCCATATCACGTATAATTCCCATATGCAATTTGAAAAAGTAACCAAAATGCAGAATCTTAGGTCCCACCCAGATTTACAGACCAAGAATGTGCATTTAAACAAGACCTTCAGAAGATCTGTATGCACATTAAAATGGGAAAAGCACTGGCCTGTGGTAGTCTTTCTTTCTCGGGATGGCGGTAAACAGATCACCCCTATGTCAGAACCACCTGGGATGCTCCTTTTTAAAAGTATACTTCTGTACTCTACCACAGACTGAGTGAAGCAGACCCTCTTGGTTGGAATCCCTTGAAATTGCATTTCAAACAAATTTCTCTCCCTGACACTTGGGCAATCTAAAGTTTGAGAGTTACCAAAGTAGCATTTTAGAACACTACATGCCATGTCATTTTCGTATATATGATTTCTTCATGAGACTAAAATCACTGAGCAAGACATACCTAGAGTTATAAACCAAATAGTACATTTATACACACAGAGATATATACACACACATGGCATTAGAAATAACTGCAAGTAAACTGTCTTTAATACTAGAAGATCAAACCTATCCAGGGAGGTTCCCTGAGCACCTGCAATGAAATGCAGATTAACCAGTTAATTGTGTCAGAGAGGAGAGGGAGTAAATTATGTATAATGATATCATTACACCTCTTGTACTCTTGTTTCAACATTACTTGCTTGTACTTTCTTGAAACATTATTAAAAATCCATTTGATTCTAATAAGTTACTTCCAATAGAAGTAAAAGTACTTTTCTATCCAAAAGATGTAAAAACAAAATAATCAAAATATCAAAATATATTGTTGTTATTTCTCTTCTATATAGTGACAGTCTTTACTAATAATTACTAAAGGCAAATTTCCCTTCAAATACCAAGCTGAAAGGCGGTACTCTGGTCATGCGGTTCCATAAAAGAGGCAGCCAATCTTTTAGATGTTTAGAAAATCCAGTTGGGTAAAATTTTCTCTTTTTCTCTGAGTGCTTATCATGAGAAAAGCATAACTCAAACTCAATTTTGTCCCAATTATCCCTGCAAACATCTGGACACTATGAAATGTGTGTCATGCCCATCTCAATTTAGATCTGGCTAACATTTTAGAATTACAAAATAATTTATCTTAAACTATTAAGAATATCACAAAGAATAGCACATAGGACTTTCTTTGTCTGAGTTAATGCTCCCCTAGGGAATTGACCAGACCAAAAATATATATATATATATATATATATATATATATATATATATACTAACAAGGATAGAAAATTGCATTTGAAAAGCATGAGCAATTTTTAACATCTTTGGAACTCTGCTATCAGAAAGGTGACATACCTCAGAGTATAGGATTCCCATGTTGGTCCTTCACAGGCTTACTTCACCTCTACAGCTCCTTGAATCTTCCAGAGGTATTTCTATTGAATATCAAAATCCTTCCTGGCTGAGAGGAATGTCCCTAGAAGTCCAAGCTGGTGGCAAGCTCCAGGAATGCTTTTCTAGCAAATACCTGTGAGTGCTTTTCTAGCAGCTCAGGCAGCAGCACACCTTCCAGAGAGCCCCAGCACAATGAAACAAAGGCCCTGGTGTCATGTGTAATGATCCAAGCCTGTATCATCTAATGTTACAACCCTGAGGAGCCGGTTTCTGAGTCATGTTTGCTCTGCCAGTGGTAACATGCAGGAAAGAAGGAAGCAAAGTTAAGGGAGGAAGAAAAGTTCTTACGTTGGCAGGAAGGACTCAGGGTTCAAACCAAGGTACTATATTTCAGACATTTCCTAATCAAAATCTGGTTTTCACTGACCATTGAAAAAGGCTAAAGACCAACAAACTTACTTGTGAGAGCCATATGTGTCTAGCAAAGAACTTGAAAAATAGTCTTCAAAATTCTCAGCCAAACAAATAACACTTTTCCAGCTATTTATGCAGTTTTGTAAACTAATAAATTTACTAACATAATAAATCTTAAGTTGTCTAAAATCTTATACTATTCACACATTTAGCTAGCCAAATTACTTTATAATATTCAATTTAAAAATCGTGTCTAAAATCAGTTACACTATTTTGCATTTTAAATTGCATCATCAATTTATCAAACATGCCAGTATGCCAAATGTCTTAAACATGGTAAACATTTTCTATACTACATGTCATATCAATTTTTCACACATTTTCTCTGAACTGAATACAATCACATCAAACTTCCCCAGAATTAAAATACCCAACCATCCACACACCCATTATAATCATGGGACCAGCCCAAACAGGGCCTACTTTGTTGATAACAAATGTCAAGTTACTTTGTAATAGAGCCAAAAACTGTAAGTCGTTTTGCCCAGGCATGCACAATAAAAATGCTTCTTGCCTCTGACAGCACCTACAAGCAATGATCCCTCTCTGGGAACCAAGAAGATGAGGACATGAGTGGAACCTGAATGCAGGAACTTTTATAGAAGCTAAGGGCTCATCGGCCCAGAAGATCCAGGGCTAAAATCTGCCTCAACATAGTTTACCTTAAATGGTCAAATTTAAAGCCCTTTAATCAGTCCCTGCCAAGCCAACATTCCTAAACCCTTGCCCTTGCCCTCTGAGCCCATACATTTGCTCAGGATTCCAAATCAGGGAGACACATTTGAACCCACCTCCTATCTCCTTGCTGGCCAGTCTTGCAACAGAACTTTTCTTTCCTCAAAACCCAGTATCCAGGTATTGGCTTCTGTGAGCACGGGGCAGCAAGCCTATTTGCTCAATAATATCATGGAAGAAATAGTTCAAACATCTCAAACAAATTGATGTGATTTTCCCAATCAGTTGCGATTCCTTAGTAGCTGGAAACTAGTGACTAAGAGGCTAGGCCTGTGCAAATAAATATTCAGGGAAATTCTTCTTACTCCAATGGCAAATATACTGAGCTATTTTTATAGTTCTTTCAAAGATTTCATGTTTTACTGTGCAGTTGATATCGAGGTCAGCCTCCCTGGGGTTTAAGAATTAGCTAATTCTTCCGTTGGAGGAGAGGGAAGTCAGCAATACCCACTAAGATTGCAGCTGACTTCCTCTTTGGCTTGGTTTGATTTTGTATTTCTGTAGTCTCTTAAGACATTTAAGTGTCTTCCCATTGACTTAGAAAAACATTAATGGTATATCCATTGGGTACTTCACTCTGTTATGCAATATTTGGTAACCTCTGGTAGCCTGTTTTGTAACCTCTTTCAACTAATTTATGTGGACAGAACTCTTCACTGTCATTACTTCTCTGCTAAGGTTGCTGCTAACTTACTTCTTCAAGCTTCTTCTTCCCTGACTGAGCTCTAAATGTTTTTTAAATATTCTATCAGGACTAGAACTCATCTCACTAGATTCTGTATCTCTTGACAACATCTTGTTCTAAAGGAACAATACTCAATGTAATTGCAAACAAGGTAGGATTGGCTCAAAAAAAAAAAATGAGAAAAGCATTGGACTCATTGCAACTGGTAAAACACTTGGATTTCATTCTAGGCTATTGGTTTTCAATGATGGGTGATTTTGCTCCTCGATGGACTGCAGAGTTAGCACTAAAAAGATAAAATGTTCAGTTAAATTTGAATTTCACATAAATTTCTGAAATGTCATATGGGACATACTTGCACTAAAAAAATACGTTGCTTAACAGAAACATCGTTTTATTAGAAATTAAAGACATTTGACAATGTCTGGAGACATTTATAGTGGTCACAAGTAGGAGTGGGTGCATGGCACTATAACCTGGGGGTGGGGGGCAGTGGCCAGGGATGCTGCTAATCACCCGGTAGTGCACAGGACAGCCTCTCAGAGCAAACCATTATCCAGCTCAGAATAGTACTAAGGTAGAGAAACTCTAGTCTAAGCCAAAAGGAGAATTAAAGTTGAAAAAAGAGGACTTGGTAAACTGTACCGTCAAATTGGAATATGGTGATATACTGTCAGAATGAGATTGGATAAGCAGATATATTTGTAAGTGTTAAGGGTTCTTCCTCTGGCAATTTGAGACTATAATTACAAAGATCGATAAAGAAAAGAAGTTTCAGAAAACAACTTTCTCAAATAAATGTCTTCTGTCAAGAATGTACCCCAGAGCTTAAAGTACAATAAAAAATAAAAATAAAAATAAAAGAAAGAACATCTGAATCAAACACTGAATCCTTAAAATTAGTGGCATACTTTGATGCTGGCTGTAGATGCAGCCAACCTCCACTGACCAGCAGCCAACTGTCTATGAGGAATGAGTCTCTTGGAAGGTATATCCCAAAGACTTCCCCCCAAGAGGGGTTCAGTAGAGCATAACAAGGGAGTGTAGTCCACAGAAGCTCGGTTTCATGCTGATATATCGATCCTTCAACATTGTCTAACACTGTCCAACATCGACCTTAGCAATGGAAGTTATCTGAGTCACACGACACCAAAATACATTACCAGCCAGCAATGAATCTGTATCGGCTCACGGCAAACTCAGTTCTTGCCTCCTCAGGAGAAAGAATTCGACTGAGGCCCATAAGATGGAAGAAGAAACCAAGGAAAGTTTTAGAGCAGGAGCTCCAGTTTATTAAAAGCCTTTAGAGCAGGAATTTAAAAGTCAAGCACATTTGGAAGAGGGCCAAGTGGGCAACTTGAAAGACAAGCGCGCAGTTTGACATTTGACTTGGGGACTTACATGGTGGCATACTTCCAGGGTCCTGCATTCCTTCTCCCCTGATTCTTCCCTTTGCTGGGCTGTCCACAAGTGCAGTGGCTCACCAGGATTTGGAAGGGGAACATGCACAGTGTGTTTAATGGAGTTGTATACATGCTCACTTGAAGCAGTGTTTTCTTGCCAGCTGAATGTCCCTAGGAGGGAATATACCAGTTAAACTTAGCCATTTTGCCTCTTAGTGTGAATGCTTGAGCCCACTTGCTCAACTCCTGAGATCCTACCAGGAAGCTGCTGATCATCAGCTTCAGGTTTCTTCTATCTATTGGGAGACTGCCTTTCCCTGGCACTGGCTGTGACCAGTTATTATTTTATTGTTATTTATTTTTATTTTCATTGAGATGGAGTCTTGCTCTGTTGCCCAGGCTGGAGTGCAGCGGTGCAATCACAGCTCATTGCAAACTCTGCCTCCCAGGTTCAAGTGATTCTCCTGCCTCAGCCTACAGAGTCACTGGGATTACAGGCGCCCGCCACCTGTATTTTTGTATTTTTAATAGAGAAGGAGTTTCGCCATGTTGGCCAGGCTCGTCTCGAGCTCCTGACCTCAAGTGATCTGCCAACTTCGACCTCCTAAAGTGCTGGGATTCCAGGCATGAGCCACACGCCTGGCCCTCAATTATTACTTTAGAGAGACAGTTAACAACCTCCTTACCATCACCTGGTGTATACCTGACTTTCCCGGTGGGTGGGGGGAACCCTCCCCCACTCTGTTCATGTCTGACTAGCCACTTAATGTAAAATTGGCTCCCATTGGAGAGATTTAAGTAAAGGAGTGTTGTGATCAGAATTTAATTTATATATTAAGTTCACTCCAGCTGTTGTATAAAGAGCGGATCTGAGTCAGGAAAGAAAAAATAGCAAGTAGTTAGGAGGCTATTGCATTAGGTCAGCTGCATGATAATAGCTACGTGTGACAGAAGAGCAGCAGTGTGGATAGAGAGAATAGGATCAACTCTAGAGTTTAGGAGGCAGAAATAACAGACTTTGCCGACTGTGAGTTATTAGGCTATCTCCTAGAGTCAAACATATTTTTCTGTTTGGTTCCTCAATGCCTACCCTGGCATCCTGCAACTGGCTTTTTTTCCCTACTGGTCTGTGGAGACAAAAGTAACTTCATCTTGGATGCTAATCCACCACGTTCATTTCTGATTAACCTGCATCTAATAAATGTCTTCTGCTTCCTACTTTATTTACTGTCTTTAATGTAAGAACACCTACTCACTGTAAATCCTACCTTTAGACCAAAGCAACCTTGATGTTATCACACAAATAATAGGTTATTATGCACATAGCACTCTTGCCTGTTCTGGTGGGTTGTCTTTAATTGTCTCTATAGAGTATGTGTGCCCTTATGCTATATGAGCCCTGGGTCTGGGAAGTAGTGGTATGGAGATCTACCTGTCTTGATGCTGCAGACCACACTTCTGTCTGCAAGTTCCCCCAATAAATTATGCTTTATCAATAAACTGATTTTGTCCGACTTGTTCTTTGGTTTCTTGGCTCCTTTCTTGTTTAGAGATTGCTTTACATACATGACTCTTTCATGGAACATGGTCTATTTTCATAAGGAGCACTCCAGGTGAGATTACAATGCTAAAGAGGGAGAAAGAGACCTCATTTCTATGGGCTTGCAATCTTATCGGCCTCATCTCACCAATAGCTCTTCATCCTAGAAAAAGCAACTGATCAAGCTTATTTTCCATGTTCCTAGAACCAGCCTATGTATACCTTTCTGGGATTCCCAGCACTAACTGTTTCTCTCCCTGAACCAATTCATGCAACTCCTCCTTTGTGATTCTGAGGTATCAGCAGCTACCAGGAAGTGGCCCCTCCTCAAGGCCTGGGGCCCAGAATTTCAAGGCCCTTTTCTCTCCTAAGTTCTAAGAACCCCAACCTTGCTCTCTTCCCTCAGTCCAAGGGGTGGTAGCTGCTCCTGTAATTCTATCTCTGTGACACCTTAGTATTCTTTCTTTTTACTTTTCAGTCTTCCAATATTTATTTAACCAATTCCTAACATTAA